TTTAATATAAAATATTAATTATATGTTTTTCTTAATAAAAAAATATTATACACATTTCTTTAAATATTTTTTATTTCTGCTTTTTCTATGTATTCATTAATTATTAAAAATAATAACTCGTCACTTTTGTGGAGTATATATTTATATTTTTTTGTAATATATTAATCTTACACATTACAATGGAATTATATTAAAATAATTATAATAGACATAATTGTGATACAATAAAAAAATTACACACATTATAATTATAACAATATTGCATATTAGAAATAATTATAACATGAACTGTAATGTCACGATTTTTTTCCCTTAAATTTAACATATAATATGAAACTTATGATATTTGGGTAATGAAAAAATAAAAATTTTTATAAATCACACATAATATACAAATACTGATTTGTATACATTATATTTTGTTGATTACTATATATCATAAATAAAAAATTAATTTTTTTTTTAAAATTTCTTGAAGAAAAAAGTAAATTTTTATCATTTTAAAAGAGGATTATTTATTTATTATAAAAACTAAATTTAATTTTAATTATAAAATATAAAAAATTATGAAGAAAATGCTGTATGGTGGTAATCTAAATAAAATTATAAACGCAAAGAGAAATAATTTTTTTTACGCAATAATTCTATTTTTTATATTCCATATTATTTACAACACACATATTATTTTATTTTCTTAATTATCTTTTTGAAATTCAGATGAATATATTTGTAATAGAAATTACACTAATAATAAAGAAAAAAAAATTATTTAAAAATGTATAAAAGGAAATAATGTTTTAATATCCTACCATATGCATAGTACATAAAATTATTATATATTGAAATAGCAATTAATAAAAAAGCTTGATATGTATTATTAAACATTTATGTGATTTAACTAATAAATTATGAAATGTAATAAAAATAAGAAATTAATTGTAATAGAATATAATGGGAAATGCTAGCTTATATTATATACATGCATACGATCATTTCATTAATTCATTCCTTATGAAAAAAATAATTGGCATGCAAAATAATTATGAATAATATATATATTAATAAATATAGAAAAGTAATATATATATATGTAATATTAAATTGAATTATATAATAAACAAATAATAAAATTTTTATAACATTATATGATTTCGATATGTACTTTACTGTGTGTTACATAATTTCATATAAACATGGAAAATAGTGGAGCTTGCACTATTTTATATATAAAAGTAATAAAACTAGTGAACAATAAAATTATAGTTTTAGCTCAATAATATTTGAGCTCTAAATTAAATTTTTTTATATTTAAGGTAATTCATTATATTATTAGCAGAAATAATATAATACTTGGACTTTACTGCACCGATTATATACAAGACAATAAATTTTCGTATAAAGTCGCATATAAAAGTATTTGCTATATTTCTAATTTTTATATTCTCAAAATTAAATATTACTTCTAATGTAATGTAGATATTACATTTATAATTTCATTTTTATTAAATTAAATGAATGTACATTATTAGAGATATTTATAAAATATTAATTTTGAAAAGCACACAAAACACATTATGTAACTATGTGTAGATATATAGAGCATATTATTATATCATAAATATTTTATTTCATTATTTCCTTTGGTTATTGTATGTTAAAATATAATGGGAATATTGGGAAATGAAGAAGAACTGGTATATATTGGATTTTACAAGATATTTAATATCTCCTTTCATTTATTTATTCTATTGATCATTGTAGGTTTGAAGCATTATATAATATAAAATGATGATATTATAATTTGTGAAATTTTCTTTTTCCTTTTTATTTTTAGAATATTATTTTAAAGGATTTGCCTTCTTTTAAAAAGTATGAAGTACTTAGCAAAGAGGTCGACAACAATGACTCTTATGAAAATTGCATCGAATTAAAAGAAAATGAACAGGCTTACATTCTTTGTAAAAAGTTTTTAAGGAACATAAAATCAATTCCTAAATTGGATGAAAATGTTATAAATATAAAAGAAGTTCTATATGTAATTTACTGGATATTTGATGAATTAAGAAAATATATTAGAGATAATGCTCGATATACTCATGGTATAAGCGATTACAAAATTATTGATATAGGAAATAAGTTTTATAAAAATAAAAATTCAAAATATTTACTATATGATTATACTTTTGATTTAGAAGATAAGATAAAAGAGAAATATTTGCATGATTACTTTAATAATTATGAAGAAATATTATCGTGTGGTAATGGTCAATGTGAAAAATATTATAAATACGTTAATTATATTAAAGAAATATATTATGAACACCAAAGATACTGTTTTGCATATGTATGTGATTATTTTATGCACGATGAAAAGTTTGATCCTGATGATGTCCTTTCTGAATTAACACATCGTATTCAAAAACTCAGTACAGGAGGAATATCCACAGATTCTTCAGTAATAAATGGAAATCTATTGAAACCCCAAAGCTCAAAACATGGAATTGATATGGTAATTAAATATATGAGATGTAAAAAAATAAAGGATGATTTAGACAAAGAAGGAATTAAATATAAATGCGAAGATCCAGCATATCGACAACACACGGATAAAAGATACGCCTTTCGCAATATTAAAAATGAAAAAAATGATATTTCAACTAAAGAAGCTATTATGAAACTTAATAGTAAAAATTGTGAGCACGTTAAAAATAATAATGAGGTCATTGGTTTCTATTGCAATAATTCATCTTTAACCAAGCAAACTGACGTCACTGCATCATCTAGGAATACACATTTAAGAGAACATGAAAAACTTCGAGTACTGCAAACTAACATTGGAGAAAACTTAGATTTTCATAATATAATGCAAGGAGTTAAATTGTTGTCATCATATCGTGATATCTCAGAAATTCCTCTAGATTATGAAAACAATGAAGACAAAAAAAATACTGAAAATTTTAGTCTAATTTCTGAGACATCATTATTTCCTGAGTTTTCAAAAGAATTTATTAAAGAGTATGAAGATGAAGATATGCCTAAATGTGAGTACTACAAATTTAAAGAAGGTAAACTGATCTGCGTGAATCCATTTAATTCATCTGATTCGCTCCAAAGTGAAGGGGGAAATTTTTTCATCACAACAAAAAGAGGAATAAATGTTATGATAAGTACGGAGGAAAAAAAAATTATCCCAACGACGAGAGAAGAAAATGATATTGTAAATGGTGAAAAAAAAGGTTTTATTTTTACACATAATGGAGAAAAAGATAGTATGGCAGAACAACGTGAAATATCCATTGTGTTTGACAATAACGCTACAACACCATACTTAATAATACAAAAAGGTTTTATGGGAATTGCCTTGGTAGTTGGAATATTTTTTGTTCTCTTTATATATATTAAGGTAAAAATTAATTTTATATACGTTATGTAAATGATATATTTTCTCTCGTTTAAAGGTATTATCATAAAAACTTATAATAATATATGTTTTATATATCTTAACTATACTTAAGTTTACGCCCTTTGGATCCTTCTTACGTAAGAAATTATTAAAAAATAAAAAGTCAAGTAAAAAAATTTACAACAAGCATACACAAAAACAAAAAGTACGTATTCCAACATCAAGTAACATAAATCAATGTAGGAAAAGAATAAATATACAGTATAATGTTAAATAATGTTTCATACATTATGTTTAAACTATATTGAAAATAAATAAATAAAATAAAAAATTAAAAAAATATATGAATTTTATACTTAATTATAAATAAGAGAGATGAAAAAAAAAATTATAATAAATTCCCAGATAATGGTAAAAAGAATATACAATGTTACACAAAAAAGTGTAATAGTTCTATTTTAAAACAATGTATATATTGATTGTAAATTACGAATTCTTTAATAAAACTAAATATTAATCTGAATAGAGCAATTTAAAAAAAAGAAAAGTATAATATATTTGCAAATGAATAATTGCTATATATTAATGTATGAACACAACATTTATAAAGCAAAAAAATAATATTATATGTTATATATTATTGTAATTTAATAAATATATCAAATAAAATCAAAATGGATATTAATTGTAACATTTTTTTGAATAAAATACTTATATTTACAGGAATATTTAATGGAAAAACCATTTTTTATAAGGAATAAAAAAATTTTTACTATATGTCTCATAAGAAAAATAATAATTGAGAATAAGTTAAAGTTTATTAAGAGAACATGATAAAGTGTATATTTATTTTATGAATTTCATTGTAAGCACAAATATGTGCAAATATAACTAATTAATTTTATAAATTTAATTTTATTTTCAGGAAACATATATTGTTTATATATTTATATTTTTTAATTAGAATTTTTCACGTTAATTAAGGTTCAATATTTATTAACCTTTTTTTAATACTTAATTCATTTTGTTTTTTTTTGGTAATTTATCATATTTTTTATAATATAAATAAGATTTATTCGTTGAAAAAAAAAATTTTATAAAAGTAAAGGATCCCTGTATATTGTGTTATATTAGTATGATTCTAAAAAAATTTCTGAAAAAATATCCTATATAAGAAAAAGTTTTTTCAATAATAAAATTGCTTATATATATATCCTCCATTAGAATTTTATATTAACATTTAATACTTTTTCTTTAGGTTGTTTATCACTTAAGAACACTATGTTACAATATGTATAATTATGCTTATTATTTAATATTACACCAATGTCTCGCGTAATTATATATATATTATCATGTAAAAAAATGTAGTAATATTATTAAGAGTAAATAAATTTACAGTATATATGTTTCTATTAAGAAGTAGCGATTCTGTAGTAGAAAATTACAATCAAAAAATGTATTTGAAGTTTTTATTGATAATAGCATAAAACAACGAAAAAAATTGTATAATCAAATATGCTATAGCATATATTGTATACTATATTTTATTATGAAGGTACAAAAAAATAAATTTAAAAGGAAATTTATTTAAAATTGAATTATCAATAAATTCCTTACATTAGTTATAATTTTTTAAAGTATTATTCAGATATGACAATTTCAGTAGTCTCTACTTACTTTACCATTGTTTTAAACAATGCTATATGCTATATTGTGGGTTATTTATGAAATGAATTTTTGCATTATTATAATGGAATTTACAAAAGTGTGTAATATTATACATGCTAATTAAATTTATGCATTTTTTCTTCTACATATTAAATAATGATTAAAAACCTTTTTGATTTCCCGCAATATAATATATTTTACATAATATTTCCTTGGAATTTTCAGTTTTTTACTAATGTAAGATTATTTAAAACATATATGCAGATAATTGAATCAATTTTTTTTCTTTAAATTATTTCTTATTTTTTAAGAGTAAAATATAATTCCATTTTTTAAGGGTATTAGAAATATATTTGCAATATCTAATATATTTATGAACTCAATTACACTTATAATAACATATGTAGGATGAAATATTTTAATAAGTGAATTTCTGAGGTTAATAAAATATTTTATACTTACTATATATTTTTGTAGAGACCACTGCTTTTTCTCTAATTTATTTTATATTTTTTACATTATGTAATGAGGAAAATGTAATTTTTGCTTGTAAGCCTGATGATGATTTTTAAAGAATGATATTCAAAAACATAATGTCGTACATCATAAATTTTACATTTTTTTTAACTTCATGTATTCTCGCATATTTATATATACATACATATTTAAATAATTTCATATGTTTTATATATTTGATTTTTTATGCAAATTTTTTACTAGTATAAGTGCATTTACTGTATTAATATTTTTCTATGTTTTTTTTTTTACTGTAGGATAGACTAGGTTTAACTTCTGAATATTGTACTTTTTTTATATATTTAACCAAATATATTAGAAAATATATAGCCTTTTTTGCATAATTAAAAACTTATATAAATTAATCATTTTAAGTTATTTAAATCTATGTTATACAGCATATATTTATACATCAATATTAAGGAATAAAAATATATAACTATGGTTCATGTGTGCGAAACTTTTTTTATTAGGAGCAGGATATATTATAATATATTATAAGAAAAATCTGATAAATAAAACATTAATTGTTTATTTTTTGTTCAACATAATACTATAAGTCAATATATATAGGAATTTTTTTTATTTCAAATATATTAATAAACTGTAATTATTAATTAAAAAATAAAGAAAAAAGAAAAAAAATGAAAGGATACTCATTATAGAATGCTTTATATAATTTATTATGTAACATATAATTTATATGTATTCTGCGTTTAAAAAAAAAAAAATATATTCTTCATATTAAAATTAAAATATTTATTATTATATGATTCTTGGTGCTTTTTCAAATACATATATATATATATATATATCAAAATTTCTCCTTATTATAATAATAAATGTATTCATTCTACATTTTAAGTATTTAATTATAATAAAATTGGTATTTAACTACAGTTTATAAATTTCAACAATGTAATTTTAGTTATATCTATATGATATACAATTTATACCTTATTTTTAATATATAATAATTTTTTTCTAATTAAAGTACTAATGCACATTTTTCTCATACTAAAACTGCAGAACTTTTTCTTTGATGATATAACATATTAATATGGTTAATTTTTGTATGTTTAGGATTTTAGGGACAAAGAGTTAACGATGATCAAAATAATTTTATCATTTCTATTCATTTTTGTGCTTTTATATTTTTTCTATATATAATATTCCATGATAACATTTTGTATATTAAAAATACATAATGAACACCACTCATTTCTGATTGTTTCATATATAACATTTTAAAAAACTATTATTTATTATATGTACACTTAATTTTTTTATTTTCATTGTAAGAACAGTATTGTAAATGTAGACAAAATATACATTTTTGTTGTAACTATGGATATAATGATATTTTTGTCACTGGAAAAGCATCAATTCACTGATAGAATAGGTGTCATTTGCTATATTTAGAAAGAAAATTAAGTAATAAATAATAAAAAAAACTAACTGGTAACTTCAGAAATTAAATAAAGTGAAAACCATAGCATTTATTAGGCATAAATATTCTAACAATTGAAAACCTTTGCACTATAAAACGTATGTTTATATTTTAAAAAAAAATTGTTCAATATATTTAGTTATTCTGTAAACCGGAATGAAAAAGAATGTATTATCTACAATATATTATAAAAAAAATTCATAAAAAAACATATAATCAATAAAATTAATATATTTAATTTTATTTATTATCTTACAAACCAGAGAAATATTCATTAAATATAATTTAAAGTGGACAGGGCTCTTTAATATTATCGAAATTGTAAAATGACAAAAAAAATTATTTAATTTTATAAAATTATATAGTTATCTGTGATACACATTTTACGTGCTTTATAACTATTTTTTTCAAATGTTTGTATTTTCTAAAATGTATAATGATGCAAATGATAAGAAAAGGAGCATATATTAATGACTATATTTTTTTTATCAAAAAATTATTTCTGATGAAACAAAATTATTAATATTTATAGAGTTACATATTATAAGATGTTTTTATAAATTCAAATTTATAAATAGATTTTTATAAAAAATTTAATCTACCCTTTTAAAAAATGAACGAATTTTTATAATCTATAGTATGTTTAAGCATGTTATTATTTTTCTCTTATATTAAATATATTTGATTATTTCTTTTATTATAATAATTAATTAATCCTATGCATAACTTTAAAGGAATATATATTTTTTAAAACAGAAATAGAACTAAATTTGCGTTCTTATTCTAATTTTACTTTATATTATGTCTTAATGGTTTACAATGTACATATATATATACGCATATTACATTTGTTAACTAATTAAATGTATTATAATATTCATTATTTTTTATATATATATTCATTAACTTACTCCATTTTAGTGACACATGTGTGCATAATTACATTAAATAAAGCATAAATTTTTCATTTAAATTGATTATGCATACAATCATTTATGTGATAATTTTGATAACATGAAGTTTCCTTATTTAGTTTTTTATATGCAATATATCGCATATGTAGTATTCAAATGGTAAAAACAAAAACTGTATTTGTATAATACATTTTTAGTTAAATGGTCAAATTAAAGAAATAATTATCTATAAATAATACTTTAAAATTTTCTTTATAATTTAAACATATAAGATAGAACCTAAGATAATGAATATCATTTATGTCATTAGTTAATTCAGATATCTTTATCATATATATGTAAAATAATAATAATAATTAATATTATATAAATAATATAATATTTCGTTTAAAGGTTATTATATATTTAAGAAAACAATGAATATATTATATGCATAAATTATAATTGTAGAAATGGTGTGAATTTTAATATTTAAGGGAAAAAGTGTTTATAAAATTAAAATTGCATATTATATTGGATTTAGTTACAATAAGGTTTTTGATAATGGTATTATAAAACAGAATATATATTTTATAATAAAATTTAAAAAAATCAAACATATTAATGCATCTCGATTTATTATTTATGTCACGTATTTGAATGCCCACATGTTTAATATAAACAATAGTTATTTTGTAAAAATTCATCTCTCATTGCATAAATTATGTATATTTATTATTTTCAGACTTCATAATAGGCAATAAATTTATACTAATGTCTATTCTTAAATAATACATTAATATATATTTACATCTTTTTTTTATCTTAACATCTTATAATTGTATTATATAAACAATAACTATTAACCTGAAATAAAATATATCATTAATAATTTCCCTTAAAGTTCTCATATAATGAATTAATATGCATTGTTCTATGTGGAATATAACGCTATAATGTATTTTAATGAAGCATAATAATTACATAATTAAAATAAGTAAATGTTGTAATATGCATTTTTATTAATGATATTATAATATGACATAATATATATTACATATAATTATTTTATTCATATTATACGACAAATTTAATATGTTTACTTAATTTTTAATTTCTTATTCATATATTAACTCTTTAATTTTGAGATTTTCTATATTTAGCCCTTAGTAATATACAATATATAAATAATTTTAACTCAGGTATGCTTGTGTAATTATCACATTCAAACTTATAATATATTAATAATTAATTATAGTATTTATGTTTCATTGAATTTCATTAAATTCATGTTATATAATGTTTTTGTCTAAATAAAATGAATACAAATTACGTTATATTTTAATAGTATTCTCATAATTGCTATTATTTGTGTTATTATAAATATTATGTCCCTATACATTTTCTGAAGTGACACATTTAACTTATTCAATTATTTAATATATAATTCTAGTTTTTATTTTATTAATTATTATATAATATTATTTCATGTGTAAAATACATATTATTAGCATCCTTAAAATACAAAATTTAATCTTCTATTCTTATTTATATATTTACAGTAGTTAATAACTTTATATATATATTTATAGATCATTATTATTTTATATATTTTTTGTAATATGTATCATTACTATTTGTCATGTTATAATATATGAAAATTTAAATTTCAAATAATAAATAAAATTATAAATGTTTTAGGATATATTATTTTGATTTTATCATATATTTCTTTATATAGTGTGATTTTATCTTGTCACAACCATTAGGTTTTTTAATTCTATTATTTTACTTAAAAAATATAAATTTAATTTCATAATTTGGTAATTTATATTTATTATCCGTAGTCTAAGGAACTATATGATATACAATATATTTCATCTGCATCATTTTTATATTCCCCTTCATGTATATTCATAACATTGGTATGCTCTTTATATTTTTTATTCCATATATTTATTATCTTCCTTGTCCTTTGTTGTAAATACGAAAAACAAGAGGTATACTGATAATTAAGTTTCATTAGGTTATGTTTATTTATAGGACACTTTTTTCATATACATTTTTTGTAATAATATGTAATATATAAAATGATAAAAAGGAGTATTTAATGTGTTCATTATATTTTAAACCTTATAAATAATGAATGTTATTATCAATATTAAAGATGTTGCAATAAGTGTAGACAAAATAAAAGTTTTTATTCTTCTTTTATTGGAAGAATATAAAATTTTAGTAATTTTAGTACAAGCTGGTATGCCATTCAAATATTCAGTATTTTCTGCCTCAAAAATTTCAAGCATTTTCTGAAATGATATATTATTATTATTTTTACATATTTCTGAGAGGGACTTATATATATTTAAAAGTGCAACAGCAAGAGTAGATTCACCTCTATGTTGTTTAATGCTATCTATATAAATATATAGCTCATTCATATCATTTAATATTTTATATGTTGCTTCATCTAGTCTTACAATATTGTTCTCACATTTATCAAATCCATCTATGCTATTTTTGTTACAAGAGCTAATAATTTTATTGTAGTATTCTCTTTCATCATTAAAATGATTTTTGTCTTTCAAATTTTCTTTTAGTTTGTAGTTTAAATATTTGCAACTTGCTGTTATATCAATTTTATCTGATTTACCTTTTATAAGATTTAAATATTTAACAAAATTAAGACATGAACTATAAAAAACCACATCCCATATATTATTTTCCTTTTTAATATCACTACACACTCTCTTAATAGTACTGTCAACATCATTAGTGATACTGTTATATTCCTTTCTACATCTTGGAAATATACCAGTAAAATCAAACTAAAATTAAGGATCATAGTATATATGATATCTAAAAATATTTCAAAGAAAATATTATATATATTTATTTTACATATATCTTTACTTTAAAATTATATAATTCAATTCTATTAACACATTTAAACATACATCTTCATTCACGATTATAGTGCTACTCATTGTATTTTATATATATAAATAAGGAAAAGAAGTTCATATTTTTTTATTATTATTAGCATTTGTTAAAAATGTTAGAATAAATATAATATATATAGCTTATCTATTATTTTTTATAATATTGATGACATAAAAACATTTAAGTAATTTATATTTATATTAAGTAATTATATAAATTATGGTTGTGTTCTTCAATATCATAATTAAAACGTATTTTTTCATACATTTACACTAACAGATTGTAATTCGTACGTTAAAATGCATAATTCATTTATATAATTATTACTTTTGTTATATATAATAAAATAGTGCTTATCTATAAAAAATAAAATGTGAAATATATCCATTTTACCAATTATTTGCCTTAACGGACTTATTCATATGTAGTCAATTTTTTCTAAATATAGAATAAGAATGTATAAACCTATGAAATACATAGGATAATTAGTTTCATGCTTTTTTATTTTATTTTAAAGTTTACATATATTATATAATTTATAAAGAAACATGATTAAAATTTATTATTCATATTTGATAAAAATTTAATATTTATAAGCAAGAATAATAAAATGATATAGTAATACCATTAAATCCTTAAAAATGAATATCATATTTAAAAATCATTTATAATTCACTCTAATGTATGCTGGATAAATATAAAATTAACATAATATATTTTTTTAAATAATATGCGCATAAGCTATTTTTCTCAGTATCATATATCTTAGTGTATATATAATTTTATTTAATGCCTTATTTTAAAAATCCATTTATAACACTCACTATAATTATTATTATATATGTATAAATTAATATGTTTTTTGTTTAAAAAAAGATTTAATTACATTAAAAAAAGGAACGGAAAACAAAATTTATAATTGAAATAAATAATTATATAATTTCATTCCCTTAACAAAATTGCAATAATGATATTATATTAAAATAAATTATTATGTGTATCATGTAATTAATTTTTTTAATATATTCATGAATTGATTTTAAATTTATCTAAGATAATTCAATATATCCGCCCTTTGAATGCATTCATTGATTTTTTATGCCATATATCCCTTTGATTTATTAATAAGCTTTATAATATTTAAGAACATTTTTGTGATGTATTATTACATCAATTTATAAAGAAAGGGAAATATATATGTTTCTTATTAAAATTTTTTAATACAATAACACGGAAGTATAATATTCTTAATAGTTCCTGTCGTTTATACATATATATAGAAGAATTAAACATTATGATAAAATTACTTTTTAAATAAAAATATATTTATATAATATCTTGAACATTAAATTAAAAATTAATAATATGATAATTATATCTTCATTATAAATAAAATTTTATATAATTATTATTAATATTAAATACTAGCTCATAATATTACTAATAAAAAAAACAAATAATTAAAATTTAGTTATAATGTTTGCATAATACGTACGCATATTTTTAAGCTAAATATGTGTTATAATCACTCCAAATTTATTATAATAATATATTAAATTATATAGCATATAAGCTTGTTTAATGTATATAGTATACAAAATGTACTTTATAATATGCATTTTACTTTTTCTTGAATCTCTGCTTTTATTTTCTACTTTCAATTTTTTTGGGGGGGAGAATCAGATATTCTGTAATAGTATTATATTATTTTTGTGCTCCATCTCAATTATTGTGTGCATATATATACTTTAAAAGAATATAAAAATTGAGAAGGAGATATTTATTTTAATGCAGAATATGTCAAATTATTATGACATATAAATCAATCAGTAAGCATATTTAATTATATTTTCATAACATAATAATTTATATTCTACATATTTGATGTCTCTGTATGCATAGTTATAAGTATATGTAAAATATATAGATAATAATATTTTATATTTAAGTTTAATATAATATTTTACAACACTATTTTTTAATATCTTATTCAAATTCTAATTTTGAACATATATATAAAATATACCATACTAATTTATTCTTAATTTAATTACGCATACAATTACAAATATAAAAAAAATTCCATTTTATTATTATATATATGTGAAAAAAAATATTCTATATATATAAAAAAAAAAATAATAAAATTTTTGTCCCAAACAAAATTTTTAATTTATTTAATTATTTATAGTTATTCAAAATTTTGCGATGTAAAAAATTGAAGCTCATTAAAACGATTTCTATAATAATAGTATATTTATATCTAGTCGTTATATAAATCGTAAAGAATCAATTATTACCTTTACACATTAATAAGAAGGAATATTAATATAATTACTTTGATTGTGAGTGATACATTAGCAATTGTATATATTATTAAAAATCCATAACTCTTTTGTATATGTACATAATGGAATATAATTTATGTCTATAATAAAGTAAAAAAAATATATTAAAACAAATATTGATAAAAGGTATGTGTCACGAAAATAAGTATACATTTCATTATGCTGCATTATTCCACAATATATTTAACCATATATTTTAATACTTATATAAATATATATACTTAAGCGAAGCCTATGTGTGTTTATTGAGAATATAAATTTTGTATGGTTATACATTATTAAAACAGTTTTAATGAAAAAAAATCACTTATTATATATATTAGGTTATGATCTAAATTTATATACATGCTATATATTATAATAGAATGAATATCATGAAATAAGAGAATTCGTGTAAGGATTCTAAATATATAAAACAAATGTGACACATTATTGTATTTAATATATCTTACTGATCTTTATGAAATTACAAATTTTATTCGTTCTTTCAATGGTTATGTAAATATCAATGCCTGGTACCATAATTTATTTTGATGATATCTATAAACGCTTTTAATTGCATTTATCCGTTCATTTCTTCTTCACTGTTTTTTTACTTCAAATTCATAAAAATTTACACGTAAATATATAATTATGATTACGAGAACATCAGTTCATTCTGTGATATTATCTAATGAACTAAAAGAATAAAACCCTATTTTTCAAATGCAGTGCTCTTACATTTTTGAAGCAGATATAGTAATTTCATATATTTCTTCTGCGTATATAACAGAAAAACAAGATTTATATAATTATTTGTTATAACAATTGAAAAGGAAATAAAATAATACATATTTTTTATATAATACAACTTATAAAGAACTAAATTTATAAAAAGGTAACACATATTATATAAAAAACTGCTCCAACGGATATCCATATTTATGTTCTATTTACATATATAGTGAAGTTACAATATTAAAAGAACCATTCATTGAATTCTGATATAAATATTATAATAATACATAATTTAAAATATGCTCCAATTGCACCTATATACTCATATAATTATTGGGTTTCTTCCTTTTATTACATTTAAACAAACAATTATGTATTAGAAGAAATAATGATTAATTGTAGAAGGTAAGTATATCTAACATTTTCTAATATGTTTTTAATTTTTATACTTTGGACAATTTTAGATACGACAAGGAATGCATTAATTTCCATGTTTAAATAACATATATTTATTAAACATATTAATAAAAATATAAAGCAAATTAAATATTTTTACATAATTTAAATTAAAATGTAAAATAATTACAATAAAAATATTTATAGTAATGATAAACATAAAAATAAAAGAAACCTTGATATTCCGGAACTTAGATATAAATGTATAAAAAAATAAATATATAAAAATATGTTAATATATAAAGGAAATATTTCCTTTGAAACTTAGAAAGGCATTGTAGTATCATAAGCAATTAAATCGAAATTAGCATTTCATCTTAATATTTAATATATATATAAGAACATAAATATTATTATTTTTGATGAATCATATGATAATATAATTGAAATATATGCAAGTACAACATAATCTACTATATTAGTCTTTCAAAAATTAAAACGTAAAAATTATTATATTATTAATAACCATCTATATAAATACATATTCTTTAAAATTCAAAAAATGTCATATAAGGTACAATATATTTCATTATTATTCATAGAGTTATAATGTTAAATGATATATGTTTTATTTAAATATTACATCCTACAAATGTATATAGTATTTCTAACTCATTTTGTTATTATATATATATTTATTTTAGTGTTTGTATATATATTCTATTAATGTATATTATACATTTTATTTTTCTTGAGATTCATATTTAGTTTAAATTTCTCAGTGTTTTGACAATATAGACATAGATCAATTAACTCTGTACTTTTCTTAATATTTTCATTATACCTCTTTATATAATATCAAAAATAACATAAACATATTAAAATGGAAATTTATAATTCTTACCCTCATATTATACATATATTTTTTTTTAACTTTAAATTACATGTATATTTATATTATTAAGTGCACGATTAATTTTTCTGTTTCAGGCATATTATTATAATTCAAATGCTATTTTCATAATAGTTATCAAAAATTTGTAAGCAATATATAATTTGTTGTAATCTTTTTTCGATAATGATGATTCTGTTTTATTTCTACAAATATATTTTTGTATGAATTTATTACATTTTATACTATTATTTAACCATGTTCCTAGCAAGGTGAACTATTAAAGTAATGTAATAATAATAAAAAAAATTTTTAAAAAAATTTCAGTAGTAATTATTTTACCATAGGTATTAATCATGAAATCTTCACTTAATTATTATTATTGACATATATATTTTTTATTACATTGTATAGCATTATACATATTGTAATAAATCCCAAAAGAATAAAAACTACAATGGACAACTTTTTATCTGGAAAATTATTATTATATATTTTATATGTTTCAATATAAGACATTTGTTCTGTAGGATTAATTTCCGAAGGTCTCCTACTTCTTGGCTCAGTTGATGTGGATAAATCTCCTTTCAATTTTGGGGAAAATTCATTTTCCTCAAAAAATATTATATTAACGTTTTTATTAATGTTAATATTTAATGATTTTAGAGAATCATATTTTAAAAAAAAATCATGAAAGGATACAGTTTTAGACATACCATCGTTAGAGATTATTATATTTTTAATACTAGATTTTTTGTCTACAAGTATTTTCTGCCATTTATTTTTAAGGTGTTCTTCATAATTAGAATGTAAGTACTTTTTTTTTTCTAAATAATCCTTATCATCATCGAAATCATGAATTTGTTTTAGTATACATCTTTTTAGAGTTGATTAAACAGATTTTTTTCTTTCACACACATAATCAGAGGTGTTAAGTTTATTATTCCAGAATTCTTCAAGCATATCAATCATGTACTTACCTGATGCATTAGTAAAGCTGGATAAATTAATTACTGAAGTTATGAAATCTAGAGAATAATTTATATCTCTGCAACAATTTTCATTCTTGTGTTTTTCAGTACATTGCTTTCTTATTGTATTATAATAAACCATAGCATCTGAATTAAATTTATATATCCATTCATCTACCTCAGAAGAATTTTTAGAATCAGCTTTGGATAATAAATCAATGATCATATCATTTCCAAGTAAATTATTTACATATTTATTTGAAGGTAGATTATCCTTATTAAATGCCTGAGGAATATATTGAAAACATACCATAAATTATACTTATAGCATTACATAATAGAATGAAATAAGATTAATTATAAATGTTTACTATAAATTAATAAATTAAAATTACCTCATTTCCCATTATCAATGGTTTTTATAACTAATATATAATAAATGCTTGTAGGAATAATACATACTTGTTATATACAAGAATTTCTATATATGAACTATATATATTGTTCATATTACTAATTTTATTGTTCTGTATACGAACTTATAAATACATATTCATGCTGAAAATAAAAAATACAACAATTGTTATATTGTAATACATGGATTGTATTTTCATATTTAATTAGATACTTAAAAAAGTAATATTATTTATTAATGATAAATAGATATGAATAAATCTTTGAAAGAGGAACTATAAAACATATATATTAAATTTTTAGTACCCAAACAATATTATGTTCTGAAAAATATCTATTTTAAGATCATAATATTGAAAATAAGTATATAAAAATGTATACATTTATATTAAACGAAAGAATATAATTTTTATTTTATTACTGAGATGCATAAATAATTTGTGTGTTCTTCAATTATAAAGGTCTTAAACTATTAATATGATATATATTATTTTTTTTTGTATAAATTTAAAAAATATGCATAAATTAGTAATATATTATAGCTTTTGAATTATTGATATATGCTAATATAATTGTTGTATTAGACACAAAAATTTGAGTGTATATATAGTGTCATAATAAAATAATTATTAAACTTATCATTAATTAATCAAAAAATATTTTCTAATTTAATTATTTAAAACATTATATGAGGAAGTTTTTAATAAAATAAATATAAAATATATATAAATATTCTATACATATTATTAAACATGTGCTGTAGGGCTATATATGCATAAGAAAACATAAAATACATAATAATAACTTATATTTATATAAATGTAATAATCTATTATTTCAGAAGAATTTTGACAAAAAAGGTATCATATAAATTATAGTTCAGTACAAAAATAAAATTAATTTTATACGTAATATTTATTCTGTTTTAATATTTCCAATTTATGAATATTCATTTTGTCAAAGAATACATGTTTATATAATAATAGTAGAATGTGCTGCAAAACATAAATTTTATGATATTCATATTTTTTTTTTAATTGTGCATTATTTATAAATATATTATTATTTAACAATTTCTATATATTTTTTCACCTATTCTGAATATATCTATTATAATTATATTTATATAAAATTTCAAATGATTTATTTTGAATGTGAATTAATAAAATATTTACTATATATGTGCTATTGAATAAATAATAGACAATTATATATTTTCTGATTATTAATATATGAACATAATACATCTTATTTTCATATTATTTTATTCATAAATGAGATGAAATGAGCATTAAAAATTTATTTTATGTTATAATTGTAAGCTAAAAAATAATATGTTATATAATGGAGTATGATAAATTATGTAAAATGCATATACGTTTAACAAAATGTTATTATTGTAAAAATAATATGTGAAAAATATGCATTAAATCTTATTTAATTTACATTAACTCCATCAAGCGATATAACATAAAGGATAGAATATTCCAATGATAAATATAAATTACGGAAATTTGCATAAGTTATTCATTCACCAAGAGAAACATAATAGAGCACCCTCTTCAATATATGATCACAAAAATTTAGATAATATCAAATTATATTTATCAGAGAATTAATTATCCTACTTATAAGTATTTGCATTATTATGAAATCTTCGAAATATTTTATGAAAATAACGGGGGAAGGTATTATTAATGGAAAATATTTTTAAATTTTTGTAAATATATTTTATAAATAAAAAAATATTATTGATGTCGTTATTTATACCATAATATATATTTAATCATATTACCCAGATTACTATAAATAGACAATAACTATGAAAAATGTCATGAGGAATTTGTCTTATATATATTTATAGATTTATTTAGAATTTTCATGTTAGTTTCTATTATTACACTTATATAATATATATTTATGTAAATTTACATTGTCTATAATATTCATATTATAAAGGTTCTTTTTATTAACTTTTTTTCATTGTAGGAATTGTATAACAAAAATGTGAACTTGATTTTTACACAATATTACTAATTTTTATATATATTTATGTATATATCTATGGAAAAAAATTATGGGAAAAAATAAATGTATTATTGTATAGTCAAATTATAGTCTTTAGTAAAAATTATAGATTTCTCTTAAGTTTTTTCTTTACTTCATTTTTTTTAGTAACATAATTCATATATAAATGTAATTATTCCTTGACTAACATAAAAAATGGCTCTATATATCAAGAATAAAATATATTTATTTTTTTACTTTCATAAAATAGAAAAAATATATTTTTATTAATACTAATTTTTATTAAAATATGATGGAAAAAATCCTTTTTGTAAAATATTTTGAAAATATATGTAATGAAACTTGTTATTTACGATAATATAGTAATTAGAGAGAATGTTTTGTATAGTAAATATTTAGCGAAATTTTGTTCTCATATTACATTAAAACTGTGCAAGATTTCTTTGATATTGTACAAAATTAAATACCTTCTTTGGATTATATTATCTCAAAGTTACGCTGTTTTATTTTGCTTTACAATTTTTATATTTATAATTATATTAAGTTCTGAAATACTTATTATACTATATTTTTACTACTTATAAATTATTAAAAAGAGTTCCCTTTTATTTAAATACAAAATGGTCATGCTAAAAATACTATATAATTCTCTGTATTATATTTAATAGATACTATTATCTTTATTGCTACGAAATAGGAAAATGATTCGTAATTTTATGATTTTTTCAAATTTTTAATGAAAATTAAAGAGAATATTCATTCCCATATATATTTAAAAATATAATAATTTATTATTTATTTTTATCTCAGAATAAAATTTTATAAATGTAACAGGATATTATTATTTATTTTAACGTTTCATAAGAACAACAATATAATGAATATAATTACAAAAATTAGTATAGATAATGTATAAACATAAATTTCTGTAACTATTTTTCTATGCCTTTTTAAATTTACATAATAAATTAATTTATATATTTTTTGAAATAATAATAATGTAAGATGTACCATGGAAAGGAACTTACATATTTCAAAACACTGCATTATTTTTTATTCTGCTAATATCATATATTTTATTATGGAATTAGTAAAACACATTAATGTTTCTTAAAAATCAACATATATTACATATGTTGTTTTATTAATGCTTACGAATAATAGTTTTATATTATAGAAAAATAAAAATATGCTACTATATTTACGCAATAGAAAATCATTACAATATTGTAATGGGGGAAAAATATATATGGTTTTAGAAAAAATAAATATCAAATATGCTTTTTTCTTCTAATGCTTTTATATATAATAATTTAATTAATGTGAATATAATTTGCTTAATAGGGTTCATCTAGATATAAAAATAACTTTTTTTTTATTACAATTTATCAAAAAGAGAAAAAATAAAATAAATATTATTATAGTAGCTTGTCTAATGAAAAAAAAGTGCAGTTTTTTAATTTAAAATTTTTTTAGTATTAAATATTTTAAGTATATTTCAAATAATGTGACAAGTATTAATTAAAATATAAGATTATATATTTCTTTTAATGTAAACGATTATACATTTTAGATGTGTATAATCCTTTAATTATATTATGACATCTATTTTACATATTTAAATGTATGTAAAATTATTAATATAAAAGAAATGTAAATAACTACATAAGAAATAAACACAACTTTTGTAAGTATTAAATGAATAATAAAAAAAATACAATTAATTTGTTAAGGACTAACAATTGAGAATTTAATAATTATGCTTCCCTTAATGCTTTATGCCTAATATAAATATAGATTTTTAATACTTTAATATAAGATAAATAGATAGATCTCTATATAAATATATTCTTTGGATATGCAGGATAAAATAAAAATGTTCTATTCTACAGTACACAAATTAAATAACATATAATCAAGTGGTCAATAATATAGAACTAAATTTATGTATAATAATATATATGGACTAATGAAGTACCAATTTGGCATTTATTTACTTTATTAATAATATTATTTGTTTTATTTATTGTTATCATTACTAAAACCTAATAATATGCAATAATGTTTTTGTGGTAAATTTAAAAAAGGATGTTAAGAATGTAACGGTATTAAGACAAGTACTCTCAAGAAGTTTCTAAAAATATATGTTGATTTACACGCATTCATTATTATATTATATTGATAATCCTTATTGAAAAATACTAAAATATAGTGGACATGTGAATAATATTAAGTAGTATTTAATTTAAAATTCATGGATATTATTTGTGTGATATTTATTTTTACATTATCTATATAATTTATAAGTTTATATAACATATTTGTTTTATTCAGGTTTTCACTCTTTTCTATATTTTACTTTTTTTAATATATACTTTAATATTTCATTTTATAAGTTTTATCTTTGAATGTATTTAAAGAAATATTTATCTGGTATATAGATTTACTATAAACGTATATATCCAAATATTAGAAAAAAATGTCTTAAATAAATGCAATGCTATTTTCTGTAATATTCATTTATAATATTTTCTTTGTTCACGTTAAGTTATGAATTAAAGAAACACACATAATGGATGTACTTCAATATAATTTTTGTTTTTTATATCAAATTAGATGGATGAGCCAAATTTTACAATATTTTTTTAAAATCTTAACGAGGATACACACGTCTTTTTACTATATATTAGAATGAGAAAACAATAAATGTATATTTTAATTATAATGTGTGTATATTATGATGTATACGGGGTTTTTAGAAAAATATATTATTTTAAAAAAATTACTAAAAATTTTACGAGAAATATTCTTTATATAAATAGAAATAAAAAACATGTTTTTTCAAATATATAAAATAGTTTATTGAGATAAATATAAAAAAGAATTTCACAACTAATATTAATAATTTAAAAAATACAACATTGTGCAAATATATTACCAATGTTTGATGTTAGATATGTTACTTTTGCATTCATTATTACAATATATACACAATGAACAGAATGAATGGTTTAACTGAATCATCAAAAAGTGCAACGTGTAAATTTTGTGCGTAGTACATATATATAGAAACATAGAAATACCAATATTAACTTACATAAAAGTGCATAGAATAATAAAAGAAAAGACACTGTTTTATATGTAAGTAACATGTTATCATTTCTTTATGATACTGATCCGTAATGGGTTTTATCTTGTTCCGTTTTTCTTTTATATAGATGTCTATAATAAAAATAATTTTAAATAACGCACATACACAGAAATCATTATTCATAACTTTTATAAAATAATTACTTTATAGCAACAAAAATATTTAAATAAATTCACTTTAATATTTAATCATAAATTTAGAATTATTATTACTGTTTTATATATTTAAAATGGAGATTTTCTTCGAAGATATAGATATAAAGACACATTATAGATACACAAAAATTATCAATGTAAGAACAATATTTTTCATAAACTTTTCCATAATATACAATATTACTCTATTAAATACATTTAATATTAGTGTAAACTAAATGAAATATCTCTTATATGTGTACACATATTTTTTTAAGTAAATAAACACTAAATTGTATTGAGGGTTAATAATATACCATAATATGATTTAAATTATATAAAAATTATGAATCAACATTATAAAAAATAAATATATATATTTAATACTCTCCAAAAAATATAATAATTAAAATATAAGCTCCCCTATATTAAATCATTAAATCACATATATAAATAAAATACGAATTTAGAATTATAGAACAAAAAATATACATTTATTACTATACAATCTTGTATAAAAGAAGTGAAATAATAATTTTTTCAAATTTATCATTAGATCAATAAATATATTTATTAATATACTGTGGAGAAATTATTAATTCTGAAAAGTAGCATGGTATTATATATATCAAAAGTAGTGTGTTTTAATCTATAAATTAAATTTTATATTATAATGACATGATAATTATATGTTATTAAATCATATTATATAAAATTAAAATAAAAAAAGTAAGTTTAAAAATTCATTATTTATTGTATAATTTTTGTATAGCTTAATGGATTAAAAATTGTAATTGCACAAAAGTACTTATATATATGTAGTATATATACCATTGTTTTATTTATTAAAAATAATATTCCAATAATATCAGGAATCCCTAGAAAATAATATAACAAAAATTTAATTTATTTTTTCATTATTTGTCAGATTAATAATATTTTTAGTATATCGTATATTCTATATATTGCAAGTAAAAATGATCATATTATTATATATATGGATAGAAACAATATATAATTATAATCAGGATATAGAAAATGTAAGCACTTCTATAAAATAAAAAGATTTAATAAATAAATAATTGGGGTGAATTATGTTTAGTATTTTATGAATATAATTAATATAAAAATTATATTAATATAAAAATATACTTATTCAATATTAATGTCATATGAAAATTATGTATATATAATATGTTATTTATTATCTGCTAATGATGATATCTTATACATAAATATACCAAATTACGAAAATATAGTAATATTAATTAAAAAAAATATACTCTAATATATTATATATATAGATTAAGTATAATTTACGTACATTATTATACATTATTTATTACATTATAAAAATATAATATAAAGAATTTAAGCATAGGTATAAAATATAATATTTCTACAATTATATTATTCGAAAAGTTTCCCAATAATTATTTAATGTTGTCCTGTTATAATACTTATAATGAAGATATTACGAATACAAAAAAAAATTTATACTAAAATAATATTTTTTTTAGACGATTAAGTAATAAAATGGAAAATACTTGAAATAAATTTATATTTATCCTTACAATTCACTCAAATAATTAGATATTATATATTTTACTAATTATATTTTGAAGTTTGTCGTTCATATAACGCACAAAAGCATGTTTTATATTTTTACTTTTCATCATAATATAATATTATATACATATTTTAATGTGTAGCTAATGATTAAAATAATGTATTACGTGTTGAAATAATATAATCATTTGTATCATACAAGCATAATATGTCTACTAATACTAATATTGTTTTATTATTTATGTACTATATTATTCAACGTTCCAAATCTTTATATTATAACACTTATAAAAATATTTTAACTCTTAAAAAAGTTAAAATATATTTATAAAGACGAAATTATATGAAATTTTGTTTAATATTTTACAGTAACAAGGAAAAAAAAAAAAATATTCATTTTGCTCTATATTTATGTTGAGTACTGCTATTATATTATTATGCAGTGTAGCTTAATAAAATGTTAGAAGAATAGTAATTTCTGTTATATCATATGTATAATAAAGAAAATATATCTCTTATCTACTTATATATGTATGTGGACATGACACTTAAAAAAGACATAGAAAATAATTCTATTTTTATAATTCTGTATATATATCAGCAATGTGTTAATAATAAATGTAAAATGAAACCCTAATATCATTTAATATGATAAAGAATATTAAATTGTTAACATATATACGGTACAGTATCATGTATGATTCATTTTAATAAATATTTCAATTTATATTATATATAAATAAAGAAATTCATAGGACTTGAACATCCAAACAAGTTTATTTTATTTCTTTCTATTTTATGCATTTAATTATGTGTATGGTAATAACATGAATATAAAGATGAATTACCATAATATTATATATATTAAAATTAGCAATATATATCAACTTTCATATTCTCTATCCTTAAAATATATTAACGAAATTCTATAATTTTAGCACAATGGTATGTTATTATATTTTATTTATAAAAATTATTATTTTTATAAAATTGTTTATTTATTTTTATTTCTTTTTTTAATAGTAAAATTATAAAAATATAATGTATTCACAAGTTAATTCTAGTATATTTTATGCTATATAAAATGTACTTATCTATTATATGTTTCTTTTATATGAAATATATAACTATAAGAAAGAAAACATGTGAGATTCTTTATACGACATGTCTTTATTTTTCAAAGCGCTTATATTTACTTTTATAAATTTTATTATTTTTTTCATTTGGTTAGCAAACATTTGTAATTATATCTAATATGGGGGATAAAATTGTGTGTTTTTAATAAAATAATATTTATTATAACATAAGATTTTTTATATATTAATCTATGCATAATTATTAAAAAAAAAAAGCTTCAACATAATATAGATTTTGTAACACAATTCATTTTTTCTTATTTTTAGTATGATATATTAGATAAAAATTTTTCAAAATATATGAATATTATGGAAAATTGTCGTGAAGATAACAGCGAATGGAATGAATACTGCAAGAACATTAATAATAAATTTTTATATGCTACTAATCAGCATGCTAAAGAAAAAATGTGCCATAAGGTGATGGAATACTTATATTACATATATAATGATTTCAAAAATCCATTAGAAAAAAATGGTTTAATATACTTATATTACTGGATACATAAGTATCACCTAAATGCTGAAAAAAATATTAACTCTATCAGAGAGTTTTATGAGGAATTACTCAATATATATAAAAAAACTGCTTATTTTATAAATGATATTGATGAACATGAGTACAAAATATTCTATAAAGAATTGAAAATATTCACATATATTTGTGATTTGAATATTAGACTTTATGGTATAAAAAATAATACATTTGTTCCTTGTAAAAAAAAGCAAAAATGCGATTGTGCAGATGATTTTGCAGATATATATATGCGCCTTCATAATGCATGTGAATCTAATGGTGATCGCAATTTTTGTGAGACCCTAGAAGTTATTAGTAATGAATAAAATAAACTAAATATAACTGAAACATGTGATACAGTTAAATGCAAAATGTTACCGTGCATTAAATATGAGGATATAACTTTACCTTATTCTAGAACTAGTACTAAACAAGCTATTTTAATTCCATTTACTATAATATTAATAATCTCTCTTTTAATATTAATTCTGAATAAGGTTATTTATTATTTCATTTATAAATATTTATACGATAAAATGATTTCTATAAATAAATTAAAGATTAGTGCTAATCAATCACATATATAATACATAATTTGTTTTATTATGAAACAGTTTATTCCATGGCGTTCATACATCAACCGTTTTAGAAAAAAATATTATAGCAATAATATAGATAAAATATTTACAATGTTGAAACCTCCAGAAGTATTCGACAGCATTACATGGAATAATAGATATAATATATTATATAATTCTACCTAATATTATCATTAAATATATAACTTAAAGAAGATGTCTTGATTAATCTCCTTTAAATAGGTATGCAAAAATCATATAGAAAATAGTTCCTTAAATAACATGATATATTGAAAAAATTGCTATAATAATGAAGTAAATTTATATTTTAATTTAAATATCAGTGTTTGAAATTAAATTATATGATAACATAAAAAAGAAATTATCAATGTATTTAAATTTTAAACGAAAAATTTCATTCAACATCACTTTTAATTTCTTGATTAACTATTGAATAGTTTAAATAATGTAACTTTAATTTTTATAGTAATATATTATAAACTAAATATTAATATATTATATAATATATATTCGTAATACAAATCGTGATATTAGTGTAATCCCTATTGTATAAATTATTTCTACGTATTTATATATACATTAATAATAACTTTTGAATTATTTTTTTTTTATCACTATATATAAACAACATCAAAAAAAAAATTGAAAAGAAAATAATAAAATATTAATATATTTTATATTTAATTGCAAACGGAAAAACATATATCTAACAATAATAATATATTGATGAATGCTACATAAATTAAAACTGAATATAACATAAATATAAATAAAAAGTTTTATTTTAATTCAAGATTTACATAATATGCAAATTAAGAATTATATTATAGCAGTAAAAGTAATTCTATATAATATTTCATTTTATAATTAGGAGAAGTATTTTTTAATTAAATATAAGGAACTCTAAAATGTAAACAATTTATCTTTACATAAATAAACCCAAATCGAAATATATTATAATAGAATTATATTTAAACAATATAATTAAATCAAATAGGATACAATAAGAAACATTACCTTTATAATATATTCGAGGAAAATAATTATATTTATGAGTTAAACTAATTCAAAATATATTATTTATGAGAGCACAAGTATATTCAATGTATGTATTAAAATTATATTTATGATTCATTAAGTATTCAAATTAATTATATAAATTCATTGAAGTATAAATATTTCATGAATAACTTTTATGCAATATTATGTTGGGAATATAATCAGTTACTTTGATAAGATTAAATTTTTTTTTTCCCAATTGTTATATATTGTTTGTCATTCCTTATTTTTTCAGTAAAATATTTAAAATTATTAAAATGTATATTCATTTAATATATTTAGGGTTTTTTTTTTTTTTTTTGATCTTGTTTAACAATTTACCATACTTAGTAAATATTATAAAACATATATTTCCGTTAAATATATAAGAACATTATGACAGTAAATATTTATTGCCAATAATGTTGTATTATTATATATATTAGTAGATTTCCTATAATTATTATTTATAAATATATATGTTTTAATATCCTAGAGCACATATATCTTGTTGGTTGTGAAATAATGATAAGCCTTTATATATATGTTATAAACTATTTTATATCTTAATAGGATTTAATTATATTTTAAATATGATTAATATATAATATTATATACACGTGTTTTATCATTATACATGAATTATAAAAGAAAATAATGAAAAAATATCAGTATTTTAAAAATTTTCAAAAAATAATTCTATTTTATATAATAAATTTATATGTGTATGATAATGGCATTATAATAAATAAAATTGAATTAATATATTCATTGAATAAATCCATGATGAATACACAAGCTAAATATGAAAAAATATTTGAATACAGTATGATAACACTAAAATATAAAACATCATAAGATAATTTTAGTAGTTATATAATAAAAAAATTTTATCAATTATTATGCAATTTATTTAGATATAATTATCTTAGAAATAAAAAACCATTTTGTTAACCTATAATATTTATGTTACCTAATATAATAGAGTATTTACTAAAGGCAAAATTCTAATCACTTAAGTATAAAAAGTGAAACTGCAATAATTCATCCTTTGCAATAACAAATTAAAAACAACATTTATCATGAATTGTATATTTTTCATATGTTATTTTCTTTATTTTCAAATGTTTAACACATTATATATGAAAAAAATAAATCATTAGTTTAATTATATTAGGTTAAAATATGAAAATTTAACAAATAATTCAATATAAATATATATACAGTATAATTAATGAAGAATAAGTTTTATCATATTTGTTATTTAAATAATGGTATATTCTTATATAGTATTTTTTTTCTTATATTATTATAACATAAAAAAAAAAAAAAAATATATGGCTCGTAGTTTAGGAATAAACATATAATAATATTTCATTATAATGCACTATATAACATAAATATAAATATATAACATAATAACTCATATATATATGATGATATTAATAATAATGGTTTTTTATTTATATATTTCTAAAATAAATATATTCATGAAACATTACACTATTATAATATTTCTATTAATAGGGTTTATAAATTCATATAAAAAAACAGACAAAGAAAAATACGTCAGAACTGTAAAGGGAAAAAAATTTATATTGTTATTATACATATACATTATGTTATTCTGTAACTATAGAACAAATATGACCCACAATATATACATGCATTCATACATTATGATGCATTACATAAAAAATAGTTGAATATCTAGTATATAGCTCAAAATATTAGAAAATACAAAAATTATATAATATTAAAAAATAAAAGAAAATGTATATAAATATCATTTATAAAAAGGAATAAATATAAATTCTACATATACTATAAAATAATATGAATTCATTTTCCACATATTATATTTGGTACATTTTATTATGTTATTTCTTCTATCAGTATAAAACAAGATAGGTGTTTATTTATTAATAAATTGAATGAAAATTTAATATATTTATTTAAAATCTTTAATTAATAATCACATACCTTGAAATAGGTATATTTATTATAATTAGCTATGTGTATTAGAATAAAATATTAATAATATATATTGTGCCGATTTATGATTTTCTTACATCATTATAGAGCATGCCATTTATATTAAAGACGATATTAAAATATTACTCTAATAAATATTTTTACCTTTATTGTTATACTTACATGCTTCATTTGTACAATTTATATATAAGCCCCAGATATTACAACATAAATATCATATGCCAATAGAACCACACTTAATATTATTATACATGGAATAAATATATATAACATATATAAAAAGTATAGTTTATAATAACATTATTAAGATATATAATGATTATATATTTTAAATGCATACATTTTATAACATATTTTTTTATTAATTAATACGATAATATAATACTAATATACATAAATATACTTCATGGTCCTATATAAGAAATATGATATATTTATTTTCATCTCTTAAATATATGTATGCGTATCTTGGTACTTCATTAAGACGTTATATTTATAAGTTTTATTGAATATAATTTAATATAGTTATAATATTCTCATAATTCTTTTTGTATTATTCAATTATGCTTATATATATTATATTAAAATATAATTATAATTATCTATGGTTTATTAAATATTAATGTGTTCACAATATAATATGTTTTGTTCAAGGTAAAGATATACTATTGACAGTTTTTTTTTTATTATGCATTCCATTATTCAATATCCAAGGTGGTGTCTTATTATACTTATTAAAATAATATATATGCTATAATTAAATATTATCTATATAATTCCACTTAATGGATTATTTAAATATAATTATTATTCATTATTTTTAATAAATAACATACATTTGTAATTATTATTATAATGAATTTTAATATTTGTATATAACCTAATTAATATAAAATATGTAATAATTATTAATAGATATATATTTATTATTAATTATTTATATTTTTGATAAAACTCATAATTCCAATTTGTTATATTTGAATATATTTTGTAATTTTTATTTCATTTATTGACTTAAATTGTAAAATTTTTAGGGTATTACTCTATGATTACTTTATAATATTAATATATTATCGTTTTAATAATTAATTATTTTTTTTCTACAAAAACCAAAAATCTTAATCTTATTTTAGTTACATAAACGAAACTATAGTAAATTTGTTAGTTGGTATTATATATTTATTAGTATTCTCTAGATTTATATGATATTAGATAATTTTTACCAATCATATTTTTATATGCTCCTTCAACTGAGTCTACTAAAAAAGGTTGTTCTTTATTTTTTATATTCCACATATTTTTTAATTTCATTATACACGGTTTTACATATGATCCATAAGGGGTATACTGATAACAAATATATAATGTTACATTTTTATCAATATATGTTAAGTTTAATATAATTTTTTTCAAAATCATTCGTAGTATAAAGTATAAGGTAATATGAATTTTTTAAACCAAATTTATTATTAACCATATATAAAATGAATATAATTATTAATACTGTGAAAGTTAAAAGAGTTACAGTTAAAATAACCTTACGCATACCTCCTTTGTTAGCTTGATGTAATATTCGTGGAACTAGAGTACATGTATTTTCATCTTTTTTACTGTTCATATGTTCTTCTTTAAATTTTTTCAGTACTTCGCAAAAACTAGTGTTATCATTTGCATGACATGTTTTATAAATGTCCAAATATTTATTAAAGTATGTTCTACTGGAAGGACATTTATGACTATCAGTTTCAAAATTTCCAAGATTATTATATAGCCAATTTAAGTTCCCAAGTTTAGAAAATATAACTTCATCAAGATTTTCAACATGATTCCTACACTTATCAAGTCCCTTTTTATTTTTTTTATTATATACGGTTATCATATTTTCGTAGCAGTCTCTTTCTCCACTGCAAGAATGATTAATTTTTTTAAGTTCATTTTTTAATCTGTAGTTGAAATATTTGCAACTTCGTTTTATATCATCTTCATTTGATTTAACTTTAATAGTTTCTAAATAGTTACTAAGAACTGAACAAGTCCATACGAAGTAAGCACCAGTAATACCTAATTGTGACTTAATTCCAACGCATATATTATTAAATGGATTTAATATGACACTTGTATTGCTATTTTTCTCAGCTGCATTATACTCTTGAACACATGATGGAAATATACCAGTAAAATCGAACTAAAAAATAATATCATAATATATGCCAAAATATAAATATTTTGAAAAATAAATGACGTAACTCTTTCCAAAAATAATAGAGTTTTAATATTAACACAAATTATTATTTTAGTTGCAAGTAGAAACATACGTCTGGCTCCTCATCATCAATTTCAACCATTATTTATTGCTTATGCTAATTAATACTAGTTCTTATATTTTTTTATTACAATTATTTACGTGTTAAAATATAAAAATGTACAGTATATTTAGACCATATATATTGATTTTTATTATTTATAAAATTGTCACATTTTTTAATATTTATATTTAACACTTCTTATGTATTAATATGTGGTAATATTATGCATTCGGGATTAGTTTGATATTTTTTATTTTAAATAAACATTGATAAAAAAATATTATAATATTGAAAAAACTTAATATTTTTATGTAGTTAACACTACATATGTGATATTTCTATATATATTATTCATAATATAAATTATTTGTTTTACACAAAAATTGAATGAAATATGCATTTATATAGTTAATAATATTATTAAATATATTTATTCATATTTTTCTAACTGATTTTAAATATTGAATACATGTAAATTCAGTTATAAAATATTTATATCAATCATATACAAGCTTTTTGACAAACATGAAAAGGCATATTCATTACTTATTATTTACCTTAAGAATCATTTTATAAAGTATTTATTATGTAAATTAGCATGAATTAAACATTTACAAATAATAACAAAAATTTATTATGATTAAAAATTTAAATGGTTATAAATAAATATATTATCATCTAAAAATATTTTTCTCACAAGTTCTCTTGATAAATATATAAAAATTCAAAAAATAAAACGTCCTTAATAAAATACATGTTTTCCCTATTTCTCTACATTATATCTTTTAGAGTTTATATTATTATATATTATTTGTGACCATGCTTTTTTAATAATTATTTAATTATGATTACTATGCATAATGCAATAGTATATTTGAGTGCATAGCGTATCAATGACAAAAAAAAATTAAGAAAAACTTATATCATATTTGAAGAGTAACTTTAACATAAAAGTAAAGAGAAATTTATATTAAAAAAAAATATCTACACAATATGTGATATAATCATTAAATTATTAAAATGTATGAATATTTTTCATAAATTTGTCATAAATAATGCCATATATTTTCTACCAAGTTTTATGCATATTTTTCAATGTTACATAGCAGATTGTTACATAACTAGACTCTATATTATTTGGGAATAATTTATTCTTATATGAATATATAATTTTAAGAAAAATAAATATATTCCACCTTTTATTTTCTTCTATATATTTTTACAGTCACACATTTTATGTCATTGAATGTTTTATACATATAAATGATTATATTATAATTATTAAAAAAAAAAAAATAATATATAATGATTATGTGATATATTTTTACAATAAATTTATATATGTATAAAATGAATCAATATTTTTAACAACAAAAAACTGTTTTTAGTGCACTATATTAACTGTGAGAGGTTTATTTGTAATATTTTAAGAGCTCTTACAAATCACTACTTTAGAGCATTTTTTATTCATATACATTCAAAAAATATTAAAATAAATAAATAGAGAAATATAATATTAATGAATATATTGATGTTCTACCTTTATTAATTTTAATATTTCTGAAAGTTTGATTTATTATTTATTTCATTTCCTTATATAAGGAAATTATTTTACCTCATATTTATATAATTTTCCTTTTTTATTGTAAATTATTTATCTGATTTAATGAAAAGTTTTATGTTTTATCTAAAATTACGGTTACTTTTTATATAATTCTTAAAAAAACAAGAATCAAAATAATTCAATATAAAAAGTGAAAAATCATTTTATGATATGAATTTATTATGATATACATTATAAGAAGATGAATGGATTTACCATGAAAAAGGAAGAATAAATAGTTGAAATATGATTACATCTTCAAAAAAGTAAAAACATATACTAATCTAATTTAATATTAGCTAAATATTATATAATTTTATATATATTTACAACATTCAATCGTTTTTTTTTTTTTTTTTTATGTATTAATTTAAATGTTTGAGATATGAACTTTAATTTCATTGGATAATACATGAAAATTATATTATATATTAGCTACATTCGAATTTTTATTGATTTTATGTATACATAGTTGAATTCTGAGAAAAGAGATTGTTAAAAAGTATTTTTTCTCACTAAAGCCCTACCTCATGCAATTGAATGCATGGGTTGTACTATTAGTACCAGATTCTATATTATTTCTTTAAATATAACAAGTATATATTGTGTTTTCTTTATGAAGAAGAAATAAATAAAAATATTTTATTTAACATAATTTTTAAAATTTCAATAATAAACTAAATAATAGTTTTTTATTTATGTTTATAACCTCTTAGGGTTGTTTCCCAGAAATGTATTACTCAAACGTATTTATGAATGAAAGAAATCCTCAATGATGCTGTAAGATAATGTTTTACATTAAAAATGTTTATTAATTACATTAATAATTCATTAGAGTTATAAAATATTTTATTCTATTAAAGTACATTTAAAGATATATTTGTAAATAATTTCGTTAATAACAAGTTTAGTATTAAATACTCTATTTCAACACATATTTATTTACTAAAGAAGGAATATTAAAAAAGAATATAACAGTATTTTATGAAAATACGTATTTAATTATGGAAAAATACAATTTATAGAATAAATATTATATTAATGTATATTTAATGAAATCGCTTTTTTCATATTACATTTTGGTAAAACGAGATTTTTATAAAGAAAAAAAAAAGGTGGTACATTATACATAAAATAAAAAATTGACTTGTATAAATAATAATATTACATAAAAAATTATTAAATGACTTTTTAAAGTACTATTGATCAGAATATTATATAACATATTTGTATATTTAAAAAAAAAAAAAAATGAACATCTGGTCAAAATAAAATAAGAGCCAGTAATATGTACATTACATATTCACTTACATATTTAGAAAAACACACCACATATATTTTTCTTTTAAGATTTGATAAAATTAAGTATAATGCATCAATACTTTTTAATTAAATATGAAAATTATTTTTTTTTTATATATGAAATCTAAAAAATTCTCAAACTTTCATGTTAAAATAGATATTTCTATAAATCCATATATTCGTATATGGATAAATATATTGTAGGATTTGTGTACGTTAACGACATCTTTTGTATATCTAATTAATTGTATTGAATTTTATTCATATGTATCTCTTCCTTATATATTGTACACAATTTAACTAAATTTTTGTTAAGATGTGTTAATATAATAGCCTATGGTATGTATATGTATTTTTTCTGAATTATGAAGTACAAACTTCACATTTCTAGAATAAATTTTGTAGAGATATTTTTATACATATAACTTTATAATTTTGTAGTATACTAGAGTGAAATATTTTAATTAGTTTTTTACAATTCCTCAACATATTCATAAATATATTCATGGATTTTTACGTTATGAATCTTCTAATCTGTCATAAGATATAGAGATATTTTTTTCTTTAAACCTTTCTCTTTTTGGTAACACCCTTTTAAATTTTCTTTTTTCTTCTCTTTTTTTACTAAAAATTGTCCACACAGGACTATACTATAATGTAAAGAAAAATAAATTTTTGACAATTAAATTTTAATCAGAATGTAAAATTATAAGACTTTTGGTTGTGCATAAAATATAAAGATATATATTACTTTTTTTAGAACAGAAAATATGATAATTCCCGTAAATGTTATTGTAATAAATATAATATAAAATTTTAAGGGAGATTCTTCAGGTATTTTATTTTTTGTGATTAATACTGAGTCTCCTTTAGTTATAACCCCATCTCCAGGATATATATCGTTATATAAAAAAAGTTTAGTATTTCCATAAACATTTGTGTCTTTAATGTTAGCATCAATACTTCCACCTTTTCGTACTTTTATATGTGTTTCCTCATCATTTCCTACATTGCAATTATGAAGATGTTTTAGAGAAGTATTAGTATTTTCTTTTGCTTGTCAATCTTCTCCTCCATGTATTTCAGAAGGTACAAGGTAATGTGATTGCCCCCTTTGACTTGTCACTTTTTCATTATCTGGAGTTCTTTTAGAACATTGTTTATTTAGTGAATTTTGTGCTTTTTCAGAACACATACCTCCTTGATGCATTTCAGGGAGTTCCATATTAGTATTAAGTGTTTGAGTATCACTAGTATGACCATGAGTTATGTCTTTATCATTTTCCCCCGTTGAATATTCAACATTATTACTTTTGCAACCAAGAAGCTTAATAGAAATTTTATTTCCATTCTTATCTTCTATATATATATTTTTATTATTTTCACAAGGACAACTTTTATAAAGAAGATTATTTTTGCGAAAAATACTACTTAAATTTGCAGCATATGTTTCAAGGATTTCCGTGGAATCGAAATTCTGCCATGAATTACTTTGTGAAGAATGCAGAATTGGATCAGATTGATTTCCTTCATATGTCGAATGTTCTGACTGAAGTGAATATTTTGGAAAGCAATTTTCACTGATACAAGTAGGTTGACCAACATCATGCTCGGGTACTGTAGGTTCGTGCACAAAGGATATTAATCCCATATTTGAGTCTTTAAGATGCTCGAAACTAGAATTTACAGTATTAGGTTCAAGTAAAAATATATCTTTTTATTTTTTGTCTGATAATTTTTGGTTTTCATAGGAATCTGCTTTATAATGTTTTCCATTATTTTCTAATATTTTTTGACTAGTTTCTCCTAGAGAGATTAATTCTGCTTCATATTTTACTTTTCCTTTGGAAAATACATCTGATTTATCTTCTAACTTTGTTTGTTCCTTATGTGCTGATGTTAAAAGCATAAAATGTTCATCAGGTTTTTTACACTTAAATAACACATTATTCACTTTTTCTTTAATATCCCTAAAAATAAGACTTACATTACCCTCAAAATATATATTGTATTTATTTTTCAGATCTTCTATATCAGCACATTTGGATGCATTTATTATGTTATTATTTTTAAATTGATCTAATTAATTTATTTTCTTGTTAATCTTAACTTCAATATTAT